AATTTCTTGAAAACTGTTTCAATTTTTCTTTTGTATCAGCAGAATATTCTAAATTAATTTCGAGCTGTAAAATTGGCTTCTTTCTCTTTGAAAAAATAAATTTGTAGCGGTAAATTTGAAACACCGCGATAAAGATACGTGGTTTTGCGTTTTGGCCACCGATATGCATGCCAAGGAAAAACGCCGTATGAACCTTCACGCGTTGCCAAATTGTCTTCGATTGAACACGAATTCCCTGGTAAACTTATGAATATATTTCTTCCGATTTTTCAGAGAATATTCCTTGTATTCTGATCTAAAGTCTCTGAAAATTTCGAGGAAAAATATTCATAATTTTTCTCATAAATGAACATTTTATCAAAGGAAATTTGGCAACTCCCGAATGTCCATACGGCGTTCTTCCTTAGCATGGTAGTATGTATCCTTAACATGAAACTTGACTTCGACTGAAGTGTGCGCTCTGGACAGAGTTAACACTATGTTCTCGGCTTATCGGCAGATTGCGAAGCGCGACATTTTAAAACGATCACATTAACATGGGTTCTAATCGGAAACCACGTTAGAGCTCATTCGGGAAATACCGCACCAGCTAAAAATTAATAGGTTTTAATGCGATAATATTCAAGGCTCTATTTAAGCTCGCACGCGTTGTTAGGCAAGCTAAACCTAAAATTATTTTAATCCCATGCTCTCCTCAACTATCATCATACGCCTTGTCTCCACGAGCCGTTTCACGAGATTTGTCCCAGGGAAAAATCCCATTTACGAAGTTGGGAAAAATATTGAGTTAATTAATATTTTTCCCAGTACCAAGTATGGTACTTGTACCCCTAAGATCCACTGAGAGAAGAAGAAGAAGTGAAAACGAATTGTGCTATATTTTATTCATTACTACATTGTTCATGTTGTTATAGTTAAAATAATGTGTCTAATTGTCAATTGAGTGCAATTATTATTTTAATCCCGGTTAAACATTCGACTTTAACTGATTTATCTTCCCGCGCAAACTAGTCGCAGGACTGTATGAGCCCCGTCCCGTGGAGACGGTAACTGGGAAAAATCCCAGAAGTTTCATTCCTGCGATTCGAACTTGGGACAAATCCCATGAAAACGTCCCGTGGAGACACGGCCCTACACCGCTCTAGTCGAGCAAATCTTTAAGCGTGTTTGAACTCCCACGGCAACAAGAATAGGGTGTCTACCAGTTATGAAAAACCAAAATTGGGAACTTTCGGGGACTTTTAGGGGAGTTTTTTCCAAGAAAATCGGGGACTTTTTCCCCCGAAAAAGTAAGAAAAAGGGAGGTAGTTATAGATCGTTAAAGGGCGTATTTTATACGACTAGTTTTACAAGTCATGTTTAACCGATAAACGTGCGAAAGGGTGAACATTGATTACCGATTCTTTTGGAAGAACATATGAGCTGCTGTAAAAAAGTTAATTATTAATAAAACCTGTGCTGCCGTAAAAAGGAAAATTCTCTTCTGGAAAATACACATCAAAATTAAGTAATTTCCATGTAAAAAAAACTATAATGATAAAATCAAGAAAGCAGAACTCTAGACGCACTACTGAGAAACCTGGACAAACGGAGAACTGATTATGAGCAATGCGACGGAGGAAATGCGTAGTAGGTGTTCCGAGTCAGACGGCATAAGAAAGGGAGTGATACTGACAAAGGACCCATGCCAGAGCAGAAGGGTGACACGTACTAACGGCAGGTAGGGATGGGTTTACGTGGAGAGGGAAACGGAAAATCAGAGGGTGAGAGGTCCCCCAACCATATGACTCGTCCAGCGGCAAAGACGAAAATATTTCGTTATCAAATCGAGGTAAATTTTGCAACGTCGGTCGCGCAAATCGCAAAACTAAGGAATGTTGGCACGTCAACAGCCTAAGAGCTTTCATTTAAAACAAATCCGAGCAAAATCGGTCCTGTAATTTCCGAGATCGAATTAGCACAAACTGTCCAACGTCAAAAACGCAAGCATGTCGTTATCAAATTGAGGTAAATTTTGCAACGTCGGTCTCGCAAATCTAAAAACTAAGGCATGTTGGCACGTCTACAGCCTAAGAGCTTTCATTTAAAACAAATCCGAGCAAAATCGGTCCAGTAGTTTCCGAGATCGAATTAGCACAAACTGTATGAGGCCAAAAAAAGCCTTAGGATATTAAATATATAGATAGATGATTCATTTTTGAGTGACGATTTAAGTTGGAAAAATTTACTTTCATCAAAGATGACATCACTAGCTAGTTCTAGTGATTTGGATTTATTGGGGTCTTTAAGTCAATATGCTTTCGTTTCTTCGCATATGCCCCCAAAAATCATTTGTTTGCTTTTGGAATCTAATTTCCTTTTTTTGCTTTCGAGATGTGACTAAAAGCTTTACAACCAAAAATCCTAATATGACTTTAATCAATTTTTCTACCGGTGAATTTTTCTTTAGGAGTGACTTTCTAAGACGGCTCGAGTGGGCGATCTATTTTTCAGATAGACAGCATAATTTACTGCTTCTGCCGAGTAATGTTAATGTATATTTGCATCTGCTATCATACTGCAGACTTTGTCCGTAATAATTCGGTTTGCCCTTTCCGCAGAACTGTTTTATTGAGGAGAATGAGGTGTTGTAGTTTTATGTTTTATACTTTCTGCCTTTAAAAAAGTACGAAATGGCGAGCTGCAATATTCTCCCCCACTGTCATCTCATGAACATTTTATACTAAGATTAGTTTGTTTCTCGAAAAAATGTTTAAATTCTGTAAATTTTGTGAAGACTTCATCCTTGTGCCTTATAAAATAAACAAAGGTTTTTCTAGTGAAATCGTCTATACCGTTGTGGGATAAGGTTGACATAGGGCTGCAAACATCACTGTGGATTATTTTTAATTAATTAATTAACAAGACTTAATTAGGAACACGCCATTCCAGCTGCAGCAGCTGATAACAGATAACAGCTAACCTTCATCTTGCGCATGCGCATTATGCGCCTTGCATTAAACCTCTACCTCGCGATTTTACATGATCCTTTCTGGAATCTTTGTAATTTAAATTTGAACTTTGAGCAACTGGACTTTGATAATCTGAACTAACCCAGTTAGCAGCCTAATATTCTGAGAACGTTCTGATAATATTCCGAGGAAAATTCAAGATATTCTGACAATGCTGCGAGAATATTCCGGAATATTCTCAAAACATTCTCAGAACATTTTCGTGAGACAAAACGAAATCCCCAGAATATTCTGAGGATATTTGAAAATCCCCAAAATATTGTGTGGACATTCTAGGGATGTTTGAAAAAATCCTTGAAAAGTCCACAGCATGTTGTCAGGATGACCTCAGGATATTCGTAAAATCCGCAAAATATTCACTGGACATTGTCATAAAAGTGTTATTATAGTTCTCCCTCCCTTTCCAGCAGTGGATGAAATGAGCCCAGAATTAACTCCCTTGAGGGCGTTGAAAGAAAATTTGCCATGGCCCCCCATCCAACCTTTCCAGCTTGTGCAAATATGTTTTCTACTTTTCACGAGGATAGCTACTTAATACATTATGACAAAACTGAAAAAAATTGCTTTGTTCAGATTTAAACAGGATCACTTGATTTTAGTTTTTCATCTACTCATGTATAGTTGAAAAAGCAGCGAATTCTTATTCAATTGTTTACGTTTTAGGTACTGCTGTCAGGAAAAGTGGATAGTATATTTTTACTAGCTGGAAACGTTGGATGGTCCGTTGTAAATTTTCTTTCAACGTCCTTGAGGAAGTTAATTTAGGGCTCATTTCATCCACTGCTGAAAGGCGAAGCAATATGTTTTTCTTTTGCCCTTGAGGAAAGCAGAAAAAACATGCCTATGATCGAAAACCACTAGGATGGATAAAAGACAGGTGTTTCCTTTCAATATCCTAAATTTTACGATGAAAATTAGTCGTTAAAAACAACATTCAAAGCCATGAAAACACGATAGCATCAAGACGTTGCAAGTCTCAATGGACAGTATTTTTTTCTCAAAATGTTGCGATTCTTTCTTGTTGCATGGCATTGCAATTTGACACCTACTTGTATGGCTGTAGCTGACTCATTTTGTACGTAAAAAGTTAGGTATACAATTTTTTCAGAGAGATTCAAAAGGACATTACTTACATACGTAATACAAAACTGAACTGCTGTCAAGCAGCTTGCTTTGAAAAGGGCATGGTTTTAACTGTTAAAAGAGAATACTTATTTGTCTGAATCATTTATTGCACATGATATGCATTGGTACCTATATCCATTCTCCATGGAACTGAACAGAAAGTACGATTGGAAAAACATACGTTGAAAGCGAAATTTCAAGATCAAAAGAAGCTTTCTTCATACTTAGTATTTAAAATGTAGTAGTAATCATAGAAACAAAATAAATGAATACTTGTGGATAGTTAAACAGTATTTGAAGATCTTTACACTCTTCGAAATAATTTAATTTGGTACAAAACAGCAGACAAACATTTACGAGGAGTTATTTCTCGTTGGATTTATCGGTTCCAATTCATCGTAATCGCAGACGAAGATACCTTGACTATTGGGAGCTCATCACATTTATGATTGATGTTGTTGCCATTGTGATTGAACCAACAGGAATGAAGTAAGTAAGTAAGGTATGAAATAGAAATATCAGGGTTGTCCACTCTGAAAATGAAAATAAAATGAAACATTTAAATGAGTTACACAGTGGGCTATTGTATTGTTTCAGATAGATTTCCATGATCGGATTTAGCCTCAGTCATTGATCTAAGTTGAAAAAACTCAATGTGTTGGTAGAAAGGCAAAAAACACTTGACCGTCGATAGGTATGATTATTAGACACATGGTCAAGCTGCGGAGAACTAGATTCAGCGCTCCACACCAAACACAGGAAAAAGTATGCCTTTCCTACCTTCAGAATTGTGTAGTCCTGGCCTCACCAAGTATGAATACAAGTTTTCTGCAAAACTAGCTGTGCAAGATCCCAGATCTGACATCCATGATACTCCTACATGCAGACTATTTTAGTGCTAGGTGTAAAATTTAGGCAGTAGCCACACTGTCAATAAATGTGACACAATCACTAAAATGTGTCCAGAAATCAGAATATTAAGCACTAGAAACAGATTGGCGGAGGATAATGATGAACTAGCAAGGTTAGGTTTCATGACGGATCAAGTCATGCTAGAGAGATGGAAATTGGAAAGTGAAGTTCCTGCCCATCTCACAGACAGAATTCTTTCCAGAGTTCATACATTGATAGAATGAGACGGAATGCAAGTCATATTTCGAGGATTTCAAGAGATTGAAATATGTATAGCTTTGTATCCGTGTCCGCATGGAATGGGTTTCAGTCGAACACAAAAGTTATTCTACAACAGTCAAAATGAACATGAATAATGTTTACTTACCTAGTGTTTAGTCGTGGGTGAATAAAGAAACTTTCCACAGAAGTACAAATGTAAATAATGTGAAATAAAAACTCACAAACGAGAACACAATAGGATTTTCAGTAGCCGGCCGCTAGTGATTGAGCGTTTATGCAGGCAAAGACCCCCTACCATATGTAGAATAATAAAGCTAACGCCTAGCCCTATCTATACTATAAGCTCCAAGACCTCCTAATTTTGCGAAACTGGTGACGCTTAGTTCCAGCGTTCTACCGGGCCGATTTTCATGATTTTTGCGGCTATCGACGGGCAATTGTCTCTAGATAAGCCAACTCTTTTCAGATTTTCAAAATATGGCCCAGGTTTTTTTATATTACGTGGTAAAGTTGCGAATTCTCCCAT